GGGGGGGGGGGGGGCATAAAGGGACTTTTAGTGTAATTTGAAGGAGCCCTCTATGCTAAGAAAACAATGCCCGATTTACAACGGTACTTGAAACCTTAATCTGATCAAAATTGTGTTTATTTCGGTAAATTTCTTCATTTTGATATATATATCTAATTCATACTTAATCAAACAAAGCTTTTAAGGTTGCTGTTTAGAATCGGGCATTGCCATCCTTGCATGGAGGCCGTCACTTGGTACTACGGTTACCCTTTAATAGGTTTAAGATTCTTAACAATAATGATTTTATGACTTTTCCAAAATTTAAATAGTTGTATCCATGCATTCACGATTTCCAATTAATATGTTATCATATGTTTAAGTTAATTTTAAGGGTTTAAACAGATTTAAAACGTATCTAATAAAAATTTTTAATTTTTAATTTTGTTAGGTTTAGGCCGGTTAGTTTCGTACTATGGACAAGGACAAGACAACCAGGTTATAACAATATTGATTAAAGGGATTGATTTATACTGTGAGAGGTGCCGATAAATGGACACATACAGTCGTCTCGTCGTATATAATAATACAATGAAAACGACTTTCTATTTTGATTCTCACAAAGCTTTCAAACAGCTTGGATACGCACAAAAATGGAAACAAAGAGAAGCTGTTAGTAATGCTTACTTTTAAACTTGTAATTTGAAAAATAGCTTGTTATAAAACATCTAGAAAAGTCACCTCAATTGTATTGATATAAACGCCAATCGTTGTATAGTATGCTAATTGCTAGGGTTGACAAGATTTCATAAGTGATACTTTTAATCCATAAAATGATTTCCGATAAAAAGTATTTTTTCCTCTTTCAACAACTTAATGTATTTACTGGATTTATTTCTTTTCACTTTCTACTCAGGAAGAGAACTTATTTATAGAATCTCATAAAACCTTGTTAAAATCATATAAAACTTTAATAGAATCTCATAAAACCTTGTTAAAATCACATAAAACCTTGTTAAAATCGTATAAGACCTTGTTAAAATCGTATAAAACTTTGATAGAATCTCATAAAACCTTGTTAAAATCATATAAAACTTTAATAGAATCTCATAAAACCTTGTTAAATCGTATAAGACCTTGTTAAAATCGTTTAAAACCTTGATAGAATGTCATTAAACCTTGAGAAAATCTAGTGCACGAATAAGATGCTAGAAACCAAAAACGATTTTTAAACGACCCAAAGCTCTTTAATACTAACGATCTTCGAGTGACGCTGAACAATCATGCACTTTCCCTGACATAAAGAAAGGCAACGTGCATGATATGCGTAATAATAATTTGCCATGCAGACAACCATGAATGTAAAGAAAAAGACTGAAGTCTCATCATTTGTCCTGGAAACACTGTATCAATAGATATTTCAATTCTTTAAACAAATTTTAGGATTCTTATTCTGGACAAAATTGAAGGAATAGAATTCTTTTGAATTGTTAAGATATATTTTAGGATTCTATAGTTTTGTGACGAAAGTGAAGGAATTTAATTCTTTTTAATGTTTAAATATATATTAGGATTCTAGTTTTGTGTCAAAATTGAAGGAACTGAATTCTTTTGACCTTGCAATTGCGGCGGCACAATCTGCAAATCAGGTTTATTTTCTTTTGTTCCCCTTGCTCCTTTTTCTGAATCAGGTTAACAATTAATATATTTTCTCCTTAAAGGTATTGTATAATAATATTATTTACACGTCCGTATCACGTGAACAAAACTCCCACCAATGGCAGTGCAGTATACTGGTCATGTGACACAGACGGAAACACTTGAGAATAATACTGCACTGCCATTGGTAAGAGTTCTGGTCATGTGATACGGATGAAATTATTATATTTTCAATTATATCTATTAAAAATGAAAAATCAATAAATAAGAGCAAACCTAAGTTACTTAGACTCCTCTGGGATATCGTCGTTTTCAGAATGGTTGCGTATTTGCTGAATATAGTCTAATTAAACCTCCTATTTTTATTCAAAATTTTATACATATAGATTTTTGTATAAAGGAATTGAGTTTTTGTTACAAATTCAAATTTTCTAATGCTTATATCTTGCCAACCTAATGGTGTAAATCTTTTATATTTCAAACTTAGATCACTTGAACTAACACAATTCATAGTTTGAATTATCTAAGGTCTACGACATTGGGTTCTAAAGATATAGGGAGTAAAAAATCAGAGTTTGTGGCAAAGACTCAATTCCTTTGACACAGTTTGTATCAACTTCTCGAGACAGGAACATCAGATAAAACTCTCGATCAACTCCTAAAATGCTTTCAGCCTATACCTTCTTTCATTTTTCCTTTACAGTCCCTATAATTTATATTTATAGCATACCCTTCTTTTAATATGCGTTTTTTTTGTTACTATAACTGTAAAAATCACACAGGGTGAAAAGGGTGATTAAAAACAAATGAAAATATAAGTTTCAGATCTTTCAATTAAGATGACTCAATCAAAGGTTTTGAGTCTTAGCCACAAACCCAAATTTCTGATCCCTTTCATCTTTGCAACCCATGGTGGTGTAAACCTTTGATATTTCCAATTAGATTATTTGATCGAACAGAATTAAAAGTTTGAAAAGTTTGAAATATATAAGGTCTACGACATTGGGTTGCAAAGGAAAAGGGATTTATAGAAAATGAGAGTTTGTGGCAAAGACTTAATTCTTTTTCTTTAGTGTATAGTCTCAGATCATTTAAACTATTTTTAGTTAAAATAATTTGACTTTTAATGAAGGATTTAAAACGGTTTTGGGACTCGAGAAACTCTTCTAAGTATTTTCAAAAGTAACTAAGTATGCGCCATTTAACAGGAAAGTTATATTTTATGATGCGCAGGAGGAGCTATATGATGCCGCGTATGATTATATGACCATGCTGGAGCAAAGCATAAAGATGGCGGACCAAAAGGATACACAATTACTTCAGAGTCTGGGATTTTCTATCTCAGATATCCCAGGGTATAAGGTGATGTTTTAAAAGGACACCAGGAACCGTAAAATTCATATGAGTAGAACACTCTCCACTAAAACCCACTATTTCGTCGGTCTGTGAACTGCGCATCACTGGAGTACACAACGAAAGCTTAGTTGAGGGTGGAAACCTTTTAATTTTAAGCAGTGGCTTTCAGGATACCTTCGACATTATTTGTCAGAAAAATCTTGTTTTTTAAGAGAACTTTAAAAATTATTAAATTTTTGTCATCCTTAAAATAAATATGGCATCGTGTTTTTTTAACATGAATAATATAAGAACACAAAGAATTTGTTGCTATTGTAATTTTGACTTCACTTTCCAATTTCAAAAAGATCTCTAGTCGCAGCACTCGGCCCCTCAGAGAAGGTCATCAATGTAACTATTAAATTGACAATTTGATGAACCGCGCGGATCGAGAAAAGCTGGGTTTAAAGAATGAATTACTGAAAAATTCTATAATTTTGAACAATTATATTTTCAGAGAAAATCATTTAGATATTTATAATTTTCTTGAGAATAATTCTTTGTAAAACATTTTTACAAATTTTCTTGAATTTGTTATTCCTTAATTTAATAAATATAGGACTAAATATTGTAAAGAAAGAAACTAAATATTTGCCACAAACTTAATTTTTTTAAAATCCTAATTTCTTTGCAAGCTGATGTTGTAGACCTTTGATATTAACTAAGAAATCAGTCAGATCAAAAATGGTTAATCAGATTTTAAAGATATAAGAATTCAGAAATTGTGCTTTGTGGTGAGAGTTTAATTTCTTTATTTGAAACACTTTAGAATTAAGAGAAAAAAGACTCTATTATTTTCTAGAACTCCATTATTTTCTAGAACTCCATTATTTTCTAGAACTCCATTATTTTCTAGAACTCAATTATTTTCTAGAACTCCATTATTTTCTAGAACTCCATTATTTTCTAGAAGTCCATTATTTTCTAGAACTCAATTATTTTCTAGAACTCCATTATTTTCTAGAACTCCATTATTTTCTAGAACTCCATTATTTTCTAGAACTCCATTATTTTCTAGAACTCCATTATTTTCTAGAACTCCATTATTTTCTAGAACTCATTTTCTAGAACTCCATTATTTTCTAGAACTCCATTATTTTCTAGAACTCAATTATTTTCTAGAACTCCATTATTTTCTAGAAGTCCATTATTTTCTAGACATCCGTTATTTTCTAGAAGTCCATTATTTTCTAGAACTTCATTAATTTCTAGAACTCCATTATTTTCTAGAACTCAATTATTTTCGAGAACTCCACTATTTTCTAGAAATCTATTGGGACAGCTCATGACAATAAGCTAAGAAAAGGAGGCGTTAGATCAGGATTGAAGCATCAACAAATTCTTAGTAAAACTACAATCAATCAACCAGTTCAGGTTAATATTATATTGTTATGTTCTTTACTCAGACAAATAATATTTAGACCAAGGTACTAATGCAAGGAAAGTTATTTCAGAGGTGTACGTTTTTTTTGTACTGCAGTGTACTGTCTTTTGGCGGAAAGGTAAACACAAGACGGATGTCACAGCCTGACATGAAATCAATTTTCACAAAAATAATCAATGAAATATTCTGGTCAAAGGAAACTATTATGTGAATTTTCAAAACTTTCGAGATTGAATGCTTTTTTCTTCCTCGGATACTAAACGAACACTGATACATCTATTCTTGTTTACAAATTACGCCCAGAGAGAACTGGCTTCAGAGTATACACGACCGCAATAAACTTTCCTTGCATTAGTACCTTGATTTAGACCTTTTTTAAAGAAAACCATGCAAAACCGTTCTTTGCGCGCAGATTTAGATCTAAACTAGGATTGATAGATAAATTAATAAAAAAAATGTCGAAAGAATTTGAAAAATATATTGTTTTAACTGCTGGATTTCAAGAAATAGGAGGGATATTCAAAATATCGAAATTTATTTTGTACACTGAGTAACATCAAGGTGTTTCCAAAGCATTCTGAACTCTCTAACAGAAAGGTCTTAAGATAAATTTCATAATTAGTACTTTTTTAAGCTGTTGTAAGCCATATTATTCAATATAAGTTTAGAATGTGACTTTAGTGGAATTAGGAATTTTGTTGAAAATCGGGTTGTTTCCCCGAACCCCCTGAGAAACAAATAGATTAATCGCTTACCAAATTTAGGGAAAAATATGTATATATATCTATTTATCTATCTATCTTTCTATATTATTATATTATTATAAAGATTTATTAAAGTCGTTAACAAATGGTAAAGGTAATTCATTCAATAAAATTGGGGTTATTATATATCTATTGTATTACAGGAGATCACTGACCTACCCAGCTACTAGACAGTAGAAATATCTATCTATCTATTGTGTTACAGGAGATCACTGACCTACCCAGCTACCAGACTGTAGAAATATCTATCTATCCATTGTGTTACAGGAGATCACTGACCTACCCAGCTACCAGACTGTAGGAATATCTATCTATCTATCTATTGTGTAACAGGAGATCACTGACCTATCCAGCTACCAGACTGTAGAAATATCTATCTATCTATCTATTGTATTACAGGAGATGACTGATCTACCCAGCTACCAGACTGTAGAAATATCTATCTATCTATTGTGTTACAGGAGATCACTGACCTACCCAGCTACCAGACTGTAGAAATATCTGTAATGAATTATGTAACCATGCTAGTAACATCTGATTTATCTATCTTATCATATGTCATGTTGACCCTTACTGGCCAGTACGGTCAGTTTAATTTCACCTGTATATAAAATAAATTAGTTCAACACGATTATTCGTTTAACACGGACGTATACGTAGCCTTGAGTTTTGGCTAAGGATAGAGAGCCTTGAGTATTGGCTAGAGATAGAGTCAGCTAGATTCTAATTAGACTTTGAGTAGAGTTATCGTTTCAGTATATACCATCTAGATTTCTTACATATCTATCTATCTATTGTGTTACAGGAGTTCACTGACCTACCCAGCTAACAGACTGTAGAAATATCTATCTATCTATTGTGTTACAGGAGATCACTGACCTACCCAGCTACCAGACTGTAGAAATATCTATCTATCTATCTATTGTGTTACAGGAGATCACTGACCTACCCAGCTACCAGACTGTAGAGAGACGAGGTGCTAATCTTCTTACTCAGATTGCTGAGAGGTGATATGATTAAGGGTAAAATAATTTGAAGAATCCTCCCGAAAAATGATATTCAAATTATATTCAAAAGAAAACAAATTTGGGAAGGATATGATTTTTTAAAACCAATAGTCATCGTGAATTTTTCGACGCATTCGTATATAGTTAAAATTTCATAATATTTCTTATTTTTTATGATCTGATAGTTACTTTTGAAAACATTTATTCCTGTTTCGAGGATTTTTTATAATGAAGACGACGTTTTCATATTTTCTAGGAATGTTTGAAAATCCAGCGCCAGCGAAATATTATTTTTAAAAAAATCAGAAATATTATGAAGTAATGACTATATACGAATGCATCAAAAAGTAATCGATGACTATTATTTGTAATATCTAAATTATTTTTTTGGAATTAATTGATTATTTTACGATCCAAGTTGAATGTCGTTTTGTGAGTCGTTTTTAACAATTTCCTCCTTAGTCCTTATAGACGCAACGTACAGATAGAAGTAATATTAGTAGCGATCAAAATCGCTTATTATTCGTCATAAGCCTTTACCCTGTTTCATTTTTAGCGAAAACTCCCTTTAATTATACCTAATAAATTTCAAAGTGCAGAGACTGAGTTGAAATCGAATCATCATATTGCTAAATTTATAAAAGTTTCATAGTTTCTTTAAAGTCTCTTTTTTTGTGGGCAGCGTTGTAAAGTTTTGAAATGCCTTTGGATGAAAAATGTATATAAATATATCCCTGTATTATTATATTATTCCTCTGAATATATATATAAATATATGTATATATTTATATATATATACATATATATGTATATATATATATATATATATATATATATATATATATATATATATATATATATATATATATATATATATATATATATATATATATATATATATATCCCTGTAAATGTAATAGACAAATGGTTGAGCTGTGTAGAATGAAAAGAAGAAGAATTTCCTCAACTAATCTTAAATGTAGTTTTATATCTACAGATTCTATACAGGTAACCTTAGATCTTTCAACAAATATATTTAAACTTAAAGGGACTGTAAGCGTAATTTTAAGTAACCTTACATGAAACCCTACATGCAAATATGGAAATGCCTGATTCACAACTTTTATTTAACTAATATTTTGGAAGATATTCTAGTTTTTCTAGGTTTAAAAGTGATTTCTTTAAATAATTTCTACAACACGGGCAGCCGTAGTACATTTAAATTTCCGAGCCGGGTCAACCTTTCCGGTCCCAGTTTGTACTGTATCGCCCAGACATCGGGTAAATAAAGCAGACACTCAATAGGACTAGCCGGTGCAACAAGGTTGACGCGGTCAGACTTTAGGTTGAATTTAGTTTTTCTGAAGAGTCAGGGGTGCGTGACAAGTTTTCCTGCAATCAAGTCACATTATTGCAGAATCCGTAATTAATTGAAAATAATCAGTTTTCAAATTGTTAACATCAATATCTACTTCATACTTGATCATACAAAATCGGGTATTAAGTCGTCGTTGCTTGGAGGGTCACATGAAATTACAGTCCCTTTAAAATACCAACAAAAAATTGTCATAATGTCGACTGTCAATATTTGTTCTCAGGAATAATAACAATAATAATTAATAATAATCGTAATTATTATTCCGGCTGGAAATGAAGAAAAGAATTGAGTCTTTGCCACAAACTATGATGGAATCCATTGTTCCTAGACCTTAGCTTTTTCAAACTATGAATTCTGTTACATTAAATAATTTAGGAATTAGAAAATTTGAGTTTGTGGCAAATACTCAATTCCTTTCAATGATGATAACGTAGTTCAACCACTACCATTTTATTTACTAAATAAATTAATTATAATTTTATACGAAGAAATTACCAGAATTTTACTGAGAAATTTACTAAAGGTGTTTTTTAGACTTTACTTGCCCCGTTTAAAGCAGAAGAGGTGCACATGAACCCTGACATTGTCATTATCAAGCAGATTTTTAGGTACTATTTTCTTCTTATTTATAATGCAACATTTTTCTATATTCACAACTTTTTGGTTCAATAGATCTGAGCTGGGAACTTTGTTTTGTGGATAAAGAGTAAATGTTTGATCTCTATATTTTGTTAATCTGCAGATTAATTTAATCTTTATTCGATATCCAGCATAGTTTTCGTAATCAGTCAGTTTTTTATATATCTTCGAATTAATAGTGCCCACAGTGGATATCAAGCTTTGATTATCCTTATCAAAGACATAAAGAACATTTATAATTTAAGAATTTTTAAATATCGAAAAAAAATTTTGAGTTGTCCATAACAATTTCAAAATTTTGAAAAAAATGTTTTAAATTTTTAAATGCTCTCGATGGATAGCGAACAATCTTTTAGGAGTATTTTCTTACAGTGCATAATATAGATATTCATGTTTATTTAACCAAAAACTATTGAATTAAGAAAACATTTATAAAGTAAAAAAGAAATGTACAATTGCTGACACACAAAATTTGAATAAAAATCTATTTATTTTCAGTGAAGTTGAATGTGAAGAAACTAAAGAGAATCTGAAAACTAGGATTCAAGATCAACAAGGTGAATAAAATAAAATTTCTTTTAGAAAAAATTTGAAAATTAAAAAGAGTCCAATTGTCTTGATGTAGTTTATTTCTTAACATTTTGTGAACTTTGATGTTAAGTCCACATTAAAAAAGATTTCGATGATCCACAGAACGTTGACAGAAGAAATAATTGGTTTTAGTTGAGAGGAGCAGGCGCGTAGTGGGGGGG